TGAGACTCAATAGTTCAGCTTCTTTCTGTTGGTAATATGATACTCTCAGCATGCAGGGATTTCTAAACCAGGAAGTTCTGTAGTTGCCTTTTGGGAATCGTAAAAAGAAAAATATGAGATAATAAGAGGTAATATGGGACCTAACTATCCCATGAGACCTTTCATATACTCATTTGCTTCACATAAGGAATAATTTTTTACTTGAAATTTTAAATAAACCTATTATCCCACTACATTCTCGCATTTATGTATTACTTAAGTATTCTGGGCCTAGACCAACAGTTCCTGTAAGATAATGGAATCTATAGAACCACACAACACAAAACAAATTCCCTTGAAAAGACAATATTATTGTACCTGATCATGGTTTTCAATGTAATGCATGAGCCTACATGTGAGAAATTCCTTCTCACTCACAAGACCAGATGCCCTAATGCCTTGTCAACAGCAATGAGATACCTGACTTCTATGAAGTGCACTTGTACGAACACAATAAAAGTTCATAACTCATGGAAGCCGCTTATAATATTTTGAAGTGCTAATGTCTAGAAAATACAATAAATAAACAGATTCACACTTTTGTGGATTTTTAAAATCAGAAAGTTCTAGCTCAAAAGTTTAAATGAGAAGAAAGACTGTCTCATTTAAAGTCACATGGCTCTGAGATTTTTCATTGGTTCTTAAAGAACTTAACTAGATTGCAATTTGGGTAAAAGTGATTGTCACTGCTGATACTAACTTAGAAGCAATCAGACCAAGTTCACATGAGAACAAAAAAATAAACAAATAAATAGAAACAAGTAAGCAAGCTCACACAGTATTCAGCTGTTCCAGATGCCTGGGAAATACCTCTTCCTTAAATACACATTTTATGTACGCAGGACATGGGCAGTAGATGGTAAAATAATTTGACAAGTTCTGTTGAACTGTGATTGAATTTAATAAATTCACATTAAATTTTTCATGAGTCTTAAAATATGCAAATTCCCCAACCAGGAAGAATTTGGGTTGCTTTCTATTTTTTTTCCTCAAGATAAATGATGTAATTATTCTATTACTCTGACATTCACTGCAATGGGGATGTAAAAGTACTGTTATTCTGATTAGACATATTTTACACAGCACTTTTCAGGACATAAGAATATAAATCTTTTTTTCTTTCTCCATTATCAGGCAGTTGAACAGAAAACATTACTGACTGACGTTTATATTAATGAGGCTAAATAAAAACACAGATGGCTTCTACTAAGTGAAGGAACTGAAAGTAATGATGTGCTATCTTAAGCCACTGTCCTGCAAAATCAGGGACCAGGATAAACAGAAATCTGATTATTCTAGCTGAGTAAGAAAGCTCAAATAAACATTGCCTCTCTTTTAAACATTGTCTACACTAAAGAATTTACTCATTTTAAAGAACAGTTGTCAATAATAAGTCCCTTTGAATTAGTACTTGATTTTTTCTACACAAAAAAGTGATTCAAGATCATTCTGGAAAATGCTCTTGAGATGTAATTTTTTAGGAAAAATAAGTGTAACAGTCAAAGGACCCAGAGATGTGAAGCAAAATTTCAGGTGTAGGCCTTTCAGTGGCCCAAAGAATGGCAGAAGAAGATCGAGAATGAATCATCATTTGACTTGTCGCACAGGTTTTTCCCTAGCCAATCACATTTGCATTCAAAATGAACCAGAGCAAAGTGAAAATATTGTAGTCTGATATGTTATTTCTTTTATATATGAGATTTGAAAACAAACAACTCAACAAAAATATTTATATACATTTATGAAGGTTTCACAGGTTCTGATAGTTCCATTTTGAAATTGTTACAGTTAATCAGATTAAAAAAAATAATTAATATAGTATATAATAAGTAAGTAAATTTGGTTTACTTATAAACTCTCATGTATAAAAAATGATTGAAAATTTACTTTACATCCAAACTGCATCTAGTTATTACTAGTATTCAGCTGTAATACTCTAAAGGCCACTACTTCTTCTAACTCAGAGTTTTGGCATTGAAAATAGTTTATCCTTATACCATACACACAGTTTCATTCATCTACATCTTGCTTAACCGTATAATTTATAGAATCACATAAATTAAAGCCTAAATTGTCCTCTTAATAAGGACCTTTTCTTTTTTCCCCAAAGTTTTCAGCAGTCTTACCACTTACTGGGTGTGTTTGTGTGGGCTTTGTGTGTAGGTCTGATTTTGTCATTAAAGTTGTTTCTTTTGCTAGAGCTCACCTTTTAGAATGCTGAAAAGAGCTCTGAAAAAAAAAATCTATTTGAATGGAGCAGAATTTATGGCAAGAGAGTTATGCTTGTTTCAAGATGTTTGAAACCCCAGTCCCTACAGGGCTTTTGCTTTGGTAGACGGAGTTCCAAACATTTCAATATCAAGGAGTCAAAGAAATTATTGAACGCAGAAGTTCCAGCAATTGCAAAATATTAGTCTATTTCTTTGGACTGTTCTATATAATTTCTTTTTATAGGACTTTGTCCAAACTAGTTTTAAAATGTCTTAGGTGCAAGGCTCTTTCAATTTGCACAGACTAATAGATCTTCATTGCAACATTTTTCATGATACCGTAATTGATCTTTTTCTCAACTTCATCCAGTTAGCTGTTTTCATACACCCCAGAGACACAGTAAATAATTTCATAACCTGTTTCCCCAGGTACCATTCACATAACAATAAATGGTTTCAGCTTCAATTTAGTCAAATTTACTTAATTATTTTTTTTTAAATCTTGCCACACACCCACACATCTAATATCACATCCCTTGTCTTTATCATCAAACTAGAGCCTTTGTCAAGATGTCAAATGCAAAAGTGGCAGATGAGAAACACATCAGGGGGAGGTGGGGACCCTCAAAGATTGCTGGTACTAAAGAAATAGCTCTGTTGCACTTGTCACTAGGATGGAGAAAGCCTTCTATGCAGGTTGCAGTTGGTAGAATGCCCTGATTGTGACCAGTGAGATGGGTGGTAACAAAAGCTTCATCTCCCCTGAGTGTTCTGCCACTCTAGGCAGCAATAGCTTCCAAATGAGTCTTTCCTTTGGATCATGTTCTTTAAAGAGAGGTTAGCTGAAAATTTTGTTCTGATATCCCCTTTGTTCGCAATTTAATTTCATAAGTTGTCATTACCTAAGATGGATCTAGGCGGTTTAGATAATGATTTCTGGAGTGGAGTCCTTTCTATACTACTCTTTTACAGACTCTTTAAAGCCATCATTCTGTTTTATCAGTTGACAATGACCCCTCCCACCGCACACATTTGGACAATAAATCTCAAAATGTCATGCCTTATCTATTCCAGCATGATAAAGGGCTGTTAATGTAATCATGTAGAATGCAAACTGCTTCCTGTTGCCAGTGATCAAGGAGGCAGCAGTGATGGTTTGCACTTGTCAGATTGATCATATTCTCGTTTTGGTCAACATTCCTAGAAACCCTCTATTATTCAAAGAGCTTTCTATTGAAATATATGAACAGGGAGAGGGGAAAGAAAGAAAGAAGGAAATAAAAAGACAGTTATTTCAAATAATTTATGCTGCTGTAGCAATTTACCAGCATTGATCTCTGTGTAGAAATTCTCCTTACATCAGTAGAAAAGGAATGAGAATAAAACATGATCCATGAAATTCTCTTTTACTTGAGAGCTTTTTATGCAGAATAAGCTGCAGATTGTGCTATGAACATCTTTTCAATCATAATGCATAAGCCTTTGAAACAAGAACAAGAAATCTAAAGCAAAAAACTTTTGGCACAGGTGTGGGGGGAGAGAAATGGCAGACCCATGGTGAATGAGACATCAAAATTTAACTCATTTTCCAGAGTGGATATGTCTGGATATAGTAACATTTTGTCCATTGTCTTTGAATTTGCAATATATACATATATCTGGCTACAGAAATTCTGTGTTCTGTTGCTGTTTGAACCTTTTAAATATGTTTACCCTCTGCAAAACAATATCTGCGACTTGAAAAAAAATTGAACTATGGTGGGCAATTTTATAACTATTTTCCATGTATTAGTGAGAGAAAACCATATAAAGAAACCACACAGAGCAAGTAGTCCTGCTCTCTTCTATGATGCTACTGGAATAATTACGGAAGAAGAATTTGGGGTCTGCTAATCTTAGCAGATATTCTAAAGAACATTGTTCAACCTAATACAATAATTTGGCTGAAACAATAGTGACATAATTGACAAAATTGCATAATAATTACAGTGCTTTAGACCAAGCTATATTAAAGTATGACTCATCACTCAATACATAAGAAGGTACAGAACTACGTCAAATCCAGCAGTGCAGTGCAATATAGTGTAGCTGCAGCCAAAAAAGAAATTTAAAATCAGCAATCTTTTGTTAATAAGTGGGGAAGGAGGAAAATTAATGGAAAGTATGACTGAATTTTGTTTTACTTTAATGAATTAAATTTAAAAACTGACAAGGAATAATTGTGCAATTACAATTAAGTTTTACATCCTTGCTAGAAAAATATTTAATACATGTTAGTATTTGAACCTCACACTTCTTCTGGCAATACTTGTAATAATTTACTTTACTGAGAAGGAAGAACTAGGTTCATCTGGGGAAATGATTGGTGAAGTGCAAAAGCAATGATGGAATTTTCTGAGATAATTATATTTTTTATTGGAATACTTTATCAATGAACTTTTTTGAAATAAAAGCTGCACTGTGTAACAGTCAAACGTAAAATACATAACTTCCCATTAAACATTTTGAATGATTTTCTGTAATAGAATTCGATTGAAAACAATACTTTTAAAAACTGCAGTCTGAAAATTTCTTCCTTGAATAAGCCTTATTTGTTATGCCAAAGATATATGTGCCTTCCATCAATGTTCTATCTGTTAATACTTTCCTTGATAATAAATCCCAGTTAAAGATATTATTTAGCAGCACAATTATAAATCACTAGCAAAGTTACCATGCTAAGCTCTTTAAAAGTGTGATATTTGTACTCACCAGGTGTAAAATTATACCGAGCAGAAAACCCAATAGATTCCAGTTCACCATCAGCAAAAAATTTAATCCACAGGAATCTGCCACTGGATTTTATCATAGGTGGATTTTGCTGTCCACAGAAACGTCCAATGATTGGGGAAAAGCCAAAAGGTCCATCTCGTACTTCAATGTGGTCAAATTTACACTCCCAAGAAGGCTCTATAGAATATTTTTCATCAAAGTGTAGTTCAATGCATTGTCTAGGAGCAGCTAGAGATGAAAAGAAAGTTATCTTATTTTCTAACCAACACCTTTCAAACTAAAGCAAAATTAAAGAAATTCAAATATATTGAATTTTTATGCATCTTGACATTTTGCTTTAAAACTTGTTTAAAAATTAGTACATCTATATTTTTATAGATTTCACACTGTCAGGTTACTTGTATATTGTTTTCTTTAAAAAAGTGCTCTTGACAACAGTGCTTAACAAAGCTAAGAGAGATATCTATGATGCAAAGCAAAATATAGATAGGAACAATTGGTTCAAACACAAAATCTTTCTAAGAAACTTAACCATCTGGAATTTTTTATACTTGGGGGAGGGGTGTTAATCAGAATACTTTTTTATACCTAATGCTCACAAAGATGATGAAGTTTATCAAAACTGTGCTATAGTAAGAAGGACAGATTATGTTCCCACATGTATTTCAGTCAATGACAAATTGGGGTGTAATTGCTTATACTCAGAATTACCTATCATCTCATTTGAAAAATAAGGATGAATGTACTGAATTCTCACTTAAGAAAGAACTATATGAGGATTATGATTAAAAAGCAAATGATATACTGAAAACCTTGAAGACACTTTACAGTGGTCACTTAATTAGATGCAAAAAAAAATCCTTCTTTGATGATAGGGATTAAGGTTAGTCAAAGTCAGAATGATCTTTAAGCCAAATATTCCCTGGCATCTTGTGTATTAAGCTGAAAAGTTACTGGTAGAACTATAATATTTTCTTAAAAGGTGAAACGTAATCATGGGTTTGTCCACAAAATTTAACAGATGCAGCCTCTCTAGGGTGCTTAATCCTGTCCATAGCAAAAACTGCATGCCTTCAGTGTCTAGACCATGGTGCATTATAACCATTTGCTGATAAAGCCTTCTACTAAGATAAGCATTTGTTGTGTCATTGCCTGCTGTGCCTCTCATGGGACCATGTCCTACACTTTATACATTTCAGAAGAGGTTGGAATTGCTACGCGCTTTGCCTGAGTTACCATTCTTTTCAGATGAAAACATGCAAGATCAAACTCCAAGCTGTGTGCATAAGCTTGATATGGAAACTGCTGCCACTCCAGCAGTCACTACCTTTCGACATTTTTCCTCAGGAATAATAAGAAAACTGCCAGTGTGACCATAATCTGTATCTTGTTTCTATTTTCAATGTTTTAAATTGAAGTTTTTGTTATGAACTCATTGCTCATATAAGAAGAGAGACCAATTAAAATTAACTGCATAAGAAGACATTAGGTAAATCTTGAAATCTTTACATAAAAGCACACAGCCAGATCCCCTTTACAACTATTTCATGTAAATAAATACAGCCTCATTTTGTAAGAAGCATTTAAGAAGTAAGTTAATACATGTTATTTGAAAAGAAAGATTACTTTAATAGCTTTACTTGTAATATGATATAATTGGGTGATTGATATTTATTGAAACATTTAATGCAACAGAAGAAAGAAACCTTAGCTGCTGTTGTCAATTTGAAGGAATTCACATTTAGGGAAGTACTTGCAATTGGCTAGCTGTTGTTTATACCAATTTACAGGAAAGTTGTGGTCTTTGTGCCATACAAATTCAACAGCAGAAGCAAAACATAAAAATTTATATATGATTGCACAAAATTCACAGTCCGTGGAAAAGAAAACACTTTGAAAGTATGAAAAAAATTACAGAAATAAAATCAGATAATAAAGCTTGTAAAGAAGATCTTATTAATGTTATCTTTGGTGGGCTTTGAAGATCAAAGTAGATCTTTTTAGATTGTAGTAAAAGATTAAAATTAATCAGTGGTATCTTCCAGGTTTTCATTCAGATGTTTCTATCCTTGACTTCACACATTTGTAACAAATATTGATTTAAACTTAACTAAGCAATACTAGGGCAGAAGAGAGCAATCACCACCTTTCAGTCTGGGATCATATTTTGCATGCTCTTATTCCATTTAAGGAGCTTTGCTGAGAACTGTTCATCATTCACCTATGCTCTGCAGAGTCAGGTATCAGAAACTTCATCCTGACAACGCTTTAGGGAATCTTAAGAATGCTCATTACACCTTGAAAATCTTATAAATTCATTATTCCAATGTTATGCTATTAACCTACCTAAAGCTTTATCGGAATGTTTTAATCTCACAAACTAGATATGAAGATGAATTCTGATACTATTCTTAGTGTCATTCAGCATCATAGCACAGTATATGCCTGCTCTGCTTTCCTCAGCCACAGAGATACTTGCCTCAAAAAAGGCTTATGCCATTATTGTAACATATTTGTCGTTTAGAAACTTTCTTTTTTTTCACTACCGTATTTCATTTGAAGGGGAGGGTAACAAGTGCTGGTCCATAGATAAACCCATAACAAGCCTTCTCTGAATTCAGGATGCATAACATTGAGTTAACTCGTAACTCATAACATAGCTCAGTCATTTGATACTATTTTTGGTGTTTAAAAGGAGCCCTAGAGCCAACTGTAGGCTCAGTATAGCATAAAAGGAGTCATTGTGGGTGAAGAGTATCAGGCATACAGAGTTACATGTGAGATCTATTGACTGAGTGAATGCATGACCTGAGAAAAAAACCACAATTTCCACAACCTCCACTCCCTGAATCTCACATTGCAGGCTAGTTTTATGATCAGAATATTGCTATAGTTCACTGATCCCTGTTTTTATTTATTTTTTAGCAAAGTCAAGATGAGGCTTTTTCTAGTGTAGCTCAGATCTTGCCAGAGGATCAGAGAGAATCACATCAGCTCAAGGAGGGCTCAAGAGTTTCCACTTTTCCCCAAATCTCCCAGGAGTAGAGGCTACTTCACTCTAAGAATGGAGCACTGAATATTCATTAGCACTGCTTCTCCACTGCTAAATAAACCAAGGCTGGGTATTGAGTGTGCTGGCTGGACCACTGGCCCTTCACACTCCTCAAATATTATAGCCACGTTCTGGCTTGATTCTGGCCTTGCCAGTCAGAGCTGTCAAACCCCATTCTTAGGCATGATGTGGTGGTTGGCATCAGTCAAGGACCACTCACAGCAAGTAGTTTGTATCTGTTCTCTTAACTAGGAAGGTAAAAGGAGTTCATCTGTACATGTGTGATTGTGCCTCTCAGCCTTAAGGCCAGTGAATATATCCTGACCCCTTTTAAATATTAATCTAGCTAACTGCCTGTGTCACAGAGAGCTCTGCAAGCTAGTCCAAACAGGATGAGCTCCTTTCTCCTGAATCTCGTGAGTAACGCAACACTTTATGTCTCTGCAATTGTGTATAATTATAGGGTGCAATACAGGCCTCCATGCACCTTTTCATCACATGCTTTTAAATGCACCTCTGTGCTTCATCTTGTACGACATTTAGTTAATGGTTAAATATTTTGTTTGCAACAATCTACATAAGATAAAAAATTAATTGATCTTCCTAGAAATAACTATAAAGGATGAAAACACATAGTGAAAACTCCCAACTTTTACTTCTTTTTAGCAAAAAAGGTATAATTTTGGATTTACACTCTGGCTTTAACAAAATGTTTCTTTGCCCAATGCAAGATAAAACTAGCAGGTATTGTATAAATACACATATTGTGCCACAGCTTTTCCAACAAAGTGTGTGCAAATGTGGTCACAGTAAAACTTACAGAAATACAGTGAGAACAAGTCCAGAAAATGACTAATAATAATGTCTGTATTCCTACAGAAAAACAAAAAACAAATACAAAATCCAGAATATGTAAATCTTCCAGACTGGATTGAAATATGGCCACCTAATCAGAAAGAAGGGATGGAGCAGACATTTCTGGTATCCTTATTCACAGGTAGAGCCCATTCACATCTTCAGAACTTTTTCTGTAGCTACAATGTCAGGAAAAGTTGTTGTCAACTCCAAATGAAACATACTGAAGCTGTCACATAAAATGATATTATTTCAAATCTTAAATATCTTCCATATTTAGCTTCCAATTATCATTCTTCAGAAATGTTTAATACCATGGAAAAACCACTTAATGCTTGCATGTCTTGTCATATTTTTCATCTAATTATCTTATGAAAGTGCTGTCTTGAGATTTTTCATCCAATGAAAAAAAAGACCTTGGGTTCCAGCTTGAACCAGAAGAACAGTTGGAGAAAAAAAGCCCCACAATTAAGGTTTTAATTCTGATCAGCCTCTAAGTCTCTTTAACTGGCAGCTGAAGTTAAGCAAAAAATCTGTTTCAATTTGTCACACTGCATGGAAATGAGAAATTGAACTCAACACCTACTCCCATCTCTGAGCTGCTACAGTACTAATAGTTTTAAATAATCCTTGGTCTTTCTGGTTGTCCTGCTATTATTGATAAGAAAGCCACCTATATCCTCCTTTTAAAAGAGGATTCTTTCCTTGTTTTGATGAAGACCTTCTGAACACAAAAATCACTGTGAAATACAAAAGGACTTTGAGCAGATGTTTTCTTGTACAGTGATAATGTGACTGTTCTCTAACACCTGTGAAATATCTAGGATTAAAGAGTTTAATGGTCTTTAGTGAGAACATGGAAGACCTTCAAGAGCATTAATTCTAAATGTTCACAAACATATAAAGTGGATGATTTATTTCATATTTCTGTAAAGCAATTTTTGTCCATATCTACATTTATAAATAAGCACTTAATTATTAAAAACTCATGCATTGATAAAACCTCACAAGTATTTTACTTATAGGACTTCCAAACCAATTCTCAAGTTATAGCAGGTAAAGTATGACTATCCCACACCCCAAATATTTTTAATGTAAATTAAAGCCCTTCCTCCTACAAAATCTCCTGTGCAAATTTCCATTTGGAGCACACATGCCAGATTTCCTGCAGTCTGGCAAACGCTAATGTTGTGACTGCTGTGATTGTTCTGGGCAGCTGTGAATTTTGCCAGGTTAGAGTCATGCATATGCAACTATAAGAATGAAATTTTGGCCGAACAGGGAATTTAATGTGTGCACTCAGCTATTTCCTGAGACTGAAATAAAAAAAAGAAATAAAAAAGAATAAAAAAAAACAAGTTCACAAATTCTCACTGCATTTTGAAAGGCAGATGGGATTCATCAGTAGCTCCTCTACAGCATAACAATTTTTGTAAAGAGTTCATGATTTCTAGATGACCTAAAGGATTTCTTTTAGAATGGCTTTCTACCTGGAGTTCAAAATTCCTAACTGTTCCAGTAGCTAATTATTATTACTAGTAAAAAAAAATAAATAAAAAAGAAAAAAAATATCTAAGAACCTTCTAGCTGTTTGGTCTGCTTAGACCTTTGATTGGTAGGACAGAAGCCCCTGCAGTCAGAAATACCCTTGTTGTTTAGAAATTCAGAATCTATGTTCTTGGCAACTTTTGCCACCTCCTTTACTTCACAAAAATAATTTTGAAATGATAAAAGGCTTGCATACATTTAAGATGAGCTACAACGTGTAGGAAAAAAATTGTAACATCAGATAAAATTCTGGATTTTTTACAACACACTACAAGCTGGAGTCCTCACTGGAGATCACTGGAGTCAGTAGGCATTGTGTTTGAAGGAAGCCATCAGAATTTGCTCTAGATTGTGGTTGATAGCAAAAGTGAAGCAATGAAAGCAAGCACTCAGGAAGGAACCTAGTGATTCATATATGCATTTATACTCACATCATACAGCTTTCAATATGGTATATACAGTCTTAGTATGCTGAACTCTTTAAGACATACAAAGGGGAGATAGGAATGTGGGAATGCTATTATGGATCATATTGAAAGTCTCCCTTGTTTGGTACTTGGTATTCAACAGCAGCCAGAAACTATTTGAAGCATATTGGAATTTCAACACTAAATATAGAAATAAAATGCATTTGGAGATGTTTCTGTTTTACTCTAAAATCTTTGTGTCTTGGATTAGCAAGGATTATCCACAACTTCCACAGATTGCAATTTTTTAATTTTAATTTTTTTTTCAATCTTTTCACTTCAATATCTTATGCCACTGAGGTCCACAGAATATAAAAGATAAGGGGGAAAATCTTTACTTGCCAGCCTTCTTTATCATTTTCTGCCATTTTTATATGTTATAAAAGTAATACATATGGAAATAACTGACTGCTGTAACAAAATAATTTTTGTTGATCTTCCGGCCCTTCTTTTGCCTTTTTTTTTTAAAATCTGCCACATTGTAAAATATGCTTGCTAAAACATCTTTCTATATCTCTGTTTATTTTTGTGACATTTTCCAGACATGATTATTTGTGATTTTTTTAGAAGACAGATATAGACACAGGGAGATTGGAGTTTAAAATGTTGTGCGCTATCCCTGTTTCTCATCAAATTGTGTACTGATAGAGCTGCTTTCATCCTGAGTTTTAAAATGTCCAATTGCAACCCAAACTGTTGATTAGGTTGAATGGGAAGAAGAAAGTATCAGTGCTATAAAAAATTGCATGTAACTGTTTTTTACCAGACTGTTTTTTCCCATAATATATAACAAGATGTCTGTTGAGTTCAAATAACTCTTTTTCCTAAAGATTGCTCCAAACTTGCCAATGTGGAATTTCATTTTCATCATAGAAGCTGGTTGATTAAATCTTTCCCTCCTAAATTGATCTTAGACACTTCCATTTTGAGCTATTCTAAATCAGGTTATTTCAACAGCGCATTTTGCCACCTTTCAGCTTATTAACTATATTTTTATAAGTACTTAATGACTATAATAAAGACAAAAGTCTTTATAATAAAGGTCATTCAGGCCCATTCTTACTAAGAGGATGAACAACTTATGGCATGAGTTATGGTGCTAGAGTTTACAAAAATGTTCTTTTTTTTTTTTTTTTTGGCACCCTTTCCCTTTAAGGATAAAGCACATGTCTGTGTTTCATATCTTTGAAGATAAAACAGGCTTACTTCTTCCCAGCCTCACAGGAGTGCTAGAAAGATAATTCAATCAATATATGCAAAGACTTGGATCTAGCAATATAAGTGTAACCAAGAAAAATAATGCTAAATTGTACGTATTGAATCTATATATTTCTATATACTTTTTTTTGAACCAATTACTAAACTATGAAAGAATTTAAATGTTAAGCATATATCTGTTTAAACTTCAGACTTATATGGGAAGACTGACAAGCACAAATTTTCTTTAAAGGGCTTTTCTGGCTCCATCATTTATGATCACCTCTTCTGACTTCAGTCAAGTTACCTAACATTAAAGTGGAATTTAGTCATTTTGCTGTGATTTTTGCCTTTCTAAAAGGGCATAGTGGGGATGGGTCTAAAGCAGTTGATTCAATTTAAATCAGATATATACCTCTGGAAACCTGTCTTGGTACTTCCTGCATCTTTAGTAAAATAAATGTTTCTGTAATTCCTGACTCCATCATTAATTGATCAATAATTATGTTAACCAAGCAAGGATAGAACAGTGTCAACATTGTATTCTGTATAGATTCACAATTCATGAAAGAATCTTCTTGGTTCCAGCAACGTACCATACTGTACCTGATTCATCTTTTCTGCTGCTAAGCTCTGACACTATTTAATTGTTATTACTTTCCATAGATTAATTTTTACAACAATTGCTTCAACATCCATTGTGATAAGACTGATGAAAAGAAACCACATAATTTGTTTGTAATACGACTTTAGTCTTTTTACATCAGCTCCATGTCTACAATTGTCTTTAAAAACTGTCTTAGAGCTGCTTGGTGTTAATGTTTGTTCCTTTCTGGTTTTGTGGGTTAGTTCTTTTACATTTATTTTCATTTCTCATGAACAGTTGGATGGAAAATAATTTTTACACTCACTATGTGGATATTTTCTGTATGACTTTTTTTACTGCACTTTGCCTAGCTATGCTTGTCATCCCTGATTCAGTTATGGTGCATTTAAAATATCTGCATGAAAGTCAAAAGCGTTTTTGTTTTCCATGTTCACTTTTACTACTCATTTTAAAATATCCTTTCTTCTGTCATGTTACAGCATTTTAGGTTCTATTCATTCTCTGAATATCCTGAAATAAACTGTACTGTGTTTATTACTGAGTCATACATACTTACCACCTGAACTAATTTATGTGTGATGTCAAGATATAAATCAAAAGCTTCTCTAAATCTCAGATCTTGAAAATACACCTGAACTAATTTATGTGTGATGTCACGATATAAATCAAGAGCTTCTCTAAATCTCACATCTTGAAAATTTTCATCATTATCTTGACCTACCATGGATTTACCTACTCTTCACATAAAATAAAACTTTTTTTTAATATAGCTGATGATAAAATATAGAGATTCCTTGTCTGATCACCTTCTATAATGTAGACACACTCTCTGTCCGGAGGATACTTGTTGGGGTAATTTGGAGAAGTGAAGATGCCTCCTTCTGCATATTTTGTCCACGTTCCACACTGCACTGGTTTCTGTCCTTCGGAAGTAGTTTGCTTTTCTGTGAAATGATCACATTAAGCATTATATAAATAGCTCACAAATTATAATGTCTTCATGATACTTAGAACTCTTACAGAATAAATAAAACAGTCCCTTCTGTCAGTGACCTCAGCTTTTTTCTGTTGAGAATTAGTATGATCATTGACCTGGAGGAAACTAGGCTGTTTTTTAGGGGTAGAAACATGTAATTCTGCCCCAAAACATTTTTTTTTCAAAGCAGAGAAGAGGCTTGGATGTCTAGGGGAAGAAATATTCATATTGTTTTTAAAATATCAACCTTGTTGGGAAAGCACACAGAAGAGGCTTGGATGTCTAGGGGAAGATATATTCATATTGTTTTTAAAGTATCAACCTTGTTGGGAAAGCACATGCTAAAGAAATGGGAGACATGAGTTTCGTACATCTCAAAAGGCTTAAGCATGTGCTCTATCAGCAAGCTACGTGCTGCAATACAGGAATACATCAGAGTCACAAAATCAAGAAAAAAACTCCAGAGAATTATGACAGTATATACAAGTTGTTTTAAATCTGCAGCATCTTTTCTCTATATTCACTGGACAAGGATAGACAGGGGAATTCCTGGAATCTGGTTCATAGGTTATTTTTATCTTGCTGTTTGTTGTAAAATTAATAAATAGCTCTGAGACCAGGAATCACAGCCCAGAACTTTCCTCCTCCTAGGTGAATCATCGGAGAGCAGAGTCAGACCTTCTTGTTTGCTTTCTTCCTAGCCCTGAATCTCTTGTGCTCCCTTTTACACACTGACAGAGAGCCTGGAGACAAAGGTTTGAGTCTCGTCAGGCTGAAGAAGATGAAGAATCCCTTCCTGGACATCATGATATAACAAGTAGGCTAAAATGAGATGGATTCTTCAGAAGTAAATATACCTAGGCTGCTATTAAAAGGAAGGATTCTAGACTGGTTTTGGTCTGAATGAGGTATCTACTATCAAAGGTGTCCCACCTAACTCCAGTCCCAGATTTGTAGAGTCGCAGTGCTTGAGGCTCCTACTATCAAAGGTGTCCCACCTAACTCTAGTCCCAGGTTTGTAGAGTCACGGTGTTTGAGGCTTCCTCTTACGATCAATGGAGGGAGACAGACACACTCCAAGGATGATTTTAACCACCTGAGATCTGTCTTAGAGTCTGCAAGCATTTCTTTTTCTTCCTGGTCTGTATCCAGGTAGAGTATGACATGGATCCTATTTCCTGAAATTGATTCAGGCCTGCAGGAACTGCACATTCAGACACAGGTTCAGACATACACTGTACTTAGCAGCTCTCCCTGCTTAGCTCTCAACACACTGAGCATCCATGACTTTTAAGAATCTCTTTCTATGCCCACCCTCCACAAATGCACCCATGATACCCAATTTCAGATTTTCAATTATCCTTCAGGAAGCAAAAAGGTCTTAAGTGTAGGTAGCTTGGTGCCTAAACTGGACTTCCCAGTTTGGAAGTGGGAATACTTTACAGCGTTTAGTTAGAGTCAGGCTGAGTCTTTAGTTAGACCTAGCTGTGAAACACGTTACCAGTTTTCGCTTTTGTGTGTGTACAGGCATGAAGATACTTCAAACATATGAACAAAGGGCAGAGACTGGAAGTAAACAAGCTACTAAAAATTTCAAACAGTAAACTAATGACTCAAATCCATCCTTTGGTTTCTAACATATTGTCTGAAAAAAAATGTCCAAACTTTACATACCTGTTCCTTTTTTGGTTGCCCCAGATAAATGTAGGATGATTAGACTTGCTACAACTGAAAAAGAAATATGCATTAAATATCACAGTGTGAGAGTGACTGCCAGCAAATCAATTGTACACATCTATCTTACAAGAATACAAATTACATAGAATTATTGCAAAAATAAGTTTCATGTTTACTTTTGTCTTTAAATTGCACATTTTGTACAAACAAGTTTCTTTGTTGCCTGTTCTCGTAAGCATTTATCTTTGCAAATATATCCAAATAAAGAGATCTTTTGGGTTTAAAACAAATTCCACTGATGTTTTCCTGCTAGTTTTTCTTTCTGTTTTGGGTTTGTTGGGGTCTTTTAGCATTAGAGAAAAACATTTTACCAATAGTTAGTTATATAATCATAGTTTGGATCAGTAATAGAAAAGTGGCTGCTTTTAACAGAGAGAGACAAAGGCCTGCTAAGTTTCAGTACCATTATATTCACTAATGCCTCTCACCATGGCATAATAAAATTTGAAAATGAGTACTGGGAGTATGAAAGAAGTGAGGGGCTGGGTTCTTCACATCCATCAAAGCATGTGCAAATCCCCAGTGAAATAAATTATTGTGTATGCTTAACAGTCTCATTAATCTAGTTTGTTTGACTTGTCGAGAGGGTGTTGCTTTGTGCTGCAGTGAATCTGCAGCCCATTATACAAACAGACTGTTGCTTTGTGCTGCAGTGAATCTGCAACCCATTATACAAATAGAAATCTCCTATCTCCCACCATGCTAGGACTGCTATGCCTCTTGGGAACAAGTGTGACCTTTCTGAGATGGACTTCGACCTGGAGATAATTACTGGATTTCTGGGAATTTCCAAATATAACATTTTAACCAGAAAAACCTAATGAGCAAACACTAAGGCCAGTCATAATGAGATTGATTTGGAAGATCAAAGTGACTAGCTAGCTACCTGATGAAGAAATCATGCACCGATTTTCTTGTCATCACTCCTTTCTTCTTTGGCTATTGGAGAAAGGGGGATAGCAAGAGCAGAAGAGAACAGATCCATCATTTCTTGGAGTGCTCGGGGTTTTGTCCCTGCTAGTTTGTCATTAAGCCCAGACATAGTGTGAAGGCTGCACTGAAGTTCAAGCGGAGATGAAGTTGCGTGTTTATTCTGAGCCTTTTGGATCAATCAGCTGCCATTTGTGTTGTTGACTGTGATGAGGAACTGATGAACTTGTGGTCTTTAATAAATGTAATTGAATGGCATACTTTCTTCTTATTATTCCCAAGACACATCAAAAGCCACCATCGGCTAGTAACTATGATCCTTTCAAGGATGGTACTTTCAACATTGCCAGCTTTCATACTGCAAATTGTATGCAATTTTCACCCCGAAGGAAGCCAGTTTCCGTATTTCCAGTATTCTGATGCCATTGAGATCTCTATTTCTACGCCTTTGACCTTTCCCATGTGACAGAGGGCTTGAGGCACGGATGATGGCTGCCTCATTAAGCAGGGAAAGGCTGAAATTCTGCGAAAATGAAGGCTTGGCAGCATATTCACTATTTCTTGGTCAGGCTCACAGACCCTGTGTCTTTTTGAATCCCTCAGCTAAGAGAGACGGATGTTGGCAGTGCTGATAGTTAAAAACTCTTCTGTGTCATGGGCATTCAGTGAGAACACTACATCTTCTACTGAGATCTGAATGCTACCCAACCATTCATACCCTTACTCTCTTCAGAGGTGAATTTTGGGAATACATGCTAGCTGGGACTCTGCCTGCCGGCTGTGTCAGAATCTGAAGGCAATGCAGGAGTCAACCATTTACTAAGTTGCTCATTTACTTTAGCTGTGTTTCATGCAGTGAACATACTGCATCTATGCCTGTGATCTTCACCAGCCAAAACATAATTTCTCAATAAAGTAAGGTGGATTAGTACTAGAATATGGAGCCAGCTGCCAATGTTCCTTCTGCCCACAAGTTTATGGAAGCTAGAATAGGATGCATAACAGCCTAACAAACTCCATGTGAGAAGTGTTTCTTTTTAGGCAAATAATAATGTGATTCTTACAGGTTATTTAAAACATCTTTATCTATTAGCTCTCCCCTCCTTTTCTATATGGAAAATAATGGAGTTCAGCAAAGTAAAGAGCTGGTCCAAGTCACAGATACATTGTCACCAAGATGACAGAAAAAAACACAGGTCTTTTCAGTTCCAGCTGTAACCACTAGAAAGGATGTTTCCAAGTCACAGAAGCTATGTTTTTCCACAGCACATAGCAATACTTACATGTCATTATGTCAGTATTGACTATTAATATGGAGTCAAAATAATATTGATAATAAAATCTAATAGACAAATAGAGACTGAGACTCAGATTTCTTTCTGTACATATCATATGTAACATTTGGATAGATGAAGTGAAATACTTATCCCATATTTCAAAACAAAGAGAAAGCCTCTCAATTTAGTGTTATTAACACCAGTAGCACAAAAATACGTATTTTGCTAGAAAGAAATTAAAATTATTGACTTCATGGGAAAAGACAGCACTATATTTTAGTTAAGCAGACAAGGTAGACCATTTTATTCTATGATCCCTTTCTCAAACCACACAAAAAGAACAGCGCTTTTCACAGGGGAGAAAAAAAAAACCAACAAAACAACACCCCAAAGAGACCAATCATGCAGCCTTCACTCATTGAATACAGTCACTTGGGAAGCGTTGGCAGCATGGCAACAATATTGTGATTACCTCAGTTCGGGAATTATTTTAAAGAAGTTTCCACCAAATTTCTTGTTTCATTCTCACTGTCTTCC